TTCAGCATTGCCCTGTAATCCAAAGGTCTTCATTTCAATAAAGATGTCCCAGTTTTTCTCAAATTAATCATGTCAAATACAAGCTTGACTTATAATTTTAAAAAGTTATACAACTGTCAAATTTTTTTAAAAAATATGTAAAAACAAAAATTACATTTTTACTTAAGAGTAGTAACAATTCTTCTGTATAATGGTACCACAGGCATTATTTCAATGCTTCATATAAATACTTACATTTTAACGTTTCAAATGCCAACTCAAAGGTAAGTCTCTTTTCATTATCATCTGAGAATTCGATGTCTGGTAAAACAACCAGTCTTTCCGATTCCTGTTTCTTTTTTAAATATGGGTTTTCTATCTCTTCTTTGGTATCATGGCGTAATGCACTGAAAACTTGAGATGCATTCTTGAACACTTTGTGGCTATATAAACATGGTTCCTTGTAGAAGTAGTCAGTCTTTGAGGACTTTTTTTCCTCCAAAACACCATTGATCATCACTCCTGACATCATTGACACTGTATTTCGCATCGTACTCTCAAGTTTGCCTTTCAATTCTAAGTTCTGATCAGTTACTGTGACAGTTGTCCGAGATCCTATGGATACTGTTTCAGCTGTTGGCGACATCTCAGTTGTGGCATAATCTGCAGGACAATTTGTTCTTTCACTTATGAAAAATCAATTTGCCTCTGGAATGTTGATATTGATGTTATATCTTTGCATTCGTGTATGTGATTGGCTATATTGAATTCCTGTCTGTCAATCACAGCAAAGGGGCTGTGACCAACTCCGATTTCTTCACCTATCAACTGTTGACTTGTGCTAACAAAACAAGAGATGTTGTGAAAAAGTCCTGTCCACTCCAAAATCAACTCCGATTTCTTCACCTATCAACTGTTGACTTGTGCTAACAAAACAAGAGATGTTGTGAAAAAGTCCTGTCCACTCCAAAATCGTCAAATTTCTATCAGCAGTTACTATGCTTCATGCAACACAACATACCTGTACAGTCACTGGTTTATTTATGTATGTAATTCAAACACACCTGTCTGTAAAAGAGAGTCTCTCTTTTGATAGGAATGATGAAAAGTATTTTTATTATGACTCTGTCTCTCTGATAGCAAGGAATGCTTCCTGATCAATTAAAGGTTCATGAAAGGAATACTGTCAAGACGATTTCCCCTCCATGCAACCTCAAGGTAGTGTAAGTGCAGCTTATCTACAATAGAATAAACACAGCAAGTGAGTTAGTAAGTTCAACCAGGCTAACCCTATTATTGATATGGTAAACAAAAAACTTGATTCAACAAACACAAAGGTGTGTTTATGTACAGTTTAATGCTTTCATTAAAATCCAGTTATTTTCACAAGATCCCTATTATAATCTATTTTTGTTGGAGGAAATTGATCTTTTAAAATAAATAAAGGGGTTACTTAGGGCAACATTATTTCTAGCATCATATTTCACACAAAACAACTTTTAATTTACCATTTTCCGCTTCTTTAAACTACTAAAGGCCCCTGTTGTTAACTTACTGTATATTTACCAACTGGTCAACTAAAAGGAAACAGAATATAGATTTGCTAACCATGAAGAAAGTTACTGAGAATGACATTTTATTGTTTGGGTTCCATCTGTTCTCATCTGTAACAATTTCTCGTTTGTTAAATATACTAAAACACTGTAACATACTTTAAGCCAAATGAAAAAGTGTGTGTGATTCTGGTTACTGGACCTACCCTATTCATTTCTGGCAACCCCAAAAAATACAATTTCAGAAGCAAAAGTAATTAAAAAATCCAGATGATAAAAAAAAAAATTAACAAAGGGATGTAACCTCAATCAAACTGAAATTCAGGATGTGGATGAAATTTGTTTTAGGTTTTATGCTTCACTTAAACCAGTCTAGTCCTTACCTCCAAAAATATCTCTACCTACCTACCCACCCCAATTTTTTTTTTCTTTAAATTGTAACCAGAACCATGCATATTTTTGTATCGAGCCTTTGGGAAAAATCTTTAAATTTAACTCAAACACGAGAGAAGCTACTAACTGTATTCCATGTCATTCACAGTATCAGTTCAGTTCTGAAAAACTGCAAGTCATAATTCACTCATACAAAGAAAATTATGCTGAACAGAATTTGAAATACTTTATATGAAAGTGGAGCTATTAAGATATATGGATATAAATGTGCTAAGTTGTAAAAGGGGAATTAATACTGCTAAAGAAGTACGCTGTATGCTGCAATTGAAATCCTGATTTGTACCACATATTTTATTCCTGAATCAAAAGCTGTGGAAACTGGCATACAGAAGTTTCATTTACTTAAATCTGGACAGGGAAACATCTTTTCTTCCAGGGTTTTCTCGCAATTTTTAATTTTATTTTCAGTGTCTTATATAATCAATGACCTTAATATCATTGCTTCAAAGGTGATGAATTATATATGAAATATTTAGCAAACTGAGTCTAAATTTTAGATTTTGTTTCAACCAATCACAAATGATGTTACTTTTGAAAGGTAATTTCTGACTGATTGATGGTGTAAACTCAATACTAAGAATGAAAAATAAGTTTATAAAATGAGTTTCTTCTAAAATTAATGGAAGCAGAAATTTGATTTTATATTTTCACAAATTTTAAATTAGCAATTATTATACAAGTTAATGATCAATTTTGAAGTTAATTTGTTCCTAAATTAATAATTGAATAATTCTTTCACAATATTTTTATAAACTGTACAATTGGGTTGAGAGCTATCCCTTATCCTAATACTGCACAAAATTGTGAAATTTGTTACATACAACATACATACTGAGTACAAATTCAAGTTAAGGATGCATTCTGTGAAGATTGAAAATAAATTAAACTTACTCAAAAAGGCAGAAGGACCATGATGTGTTACTAGCCAAAAGCAGTAATTATATTACAGCTCCATAAATCATTCTTTGTTCATGCTTGATGGCATATCAGCACATGAAAGGTTATATCATGCTGAAGCAACAAAGTACCTTTCCAGGGATATACCATAGTGACTGACACTACCTGGTATAGGTAGAAAACTTAACAACCTGACATACTGAGTCATGGCAGCTCTACCTCTATATATCAATTCATTTGTATACATACATGTGACAGAACCATAACATCAAACCATTAGATTTACAAATTTTGATCAGTGAATTGGCTTCTAAACCAGTAGATATTTTATCAGCATAAATTTGATAGTGTTTGATAGGGACTGAAATTAAATCAAGTGTTTTTATTTTTTAAAAATATATTGTGTTCTCTTCATTCTAAAATAAAACAAGATTTTAAATATGAATCAGATTCTAATGGAAAATATTACAATAATAATGAATGAATATGAGTCAGTGTATTGTCAATTATTAGCAAGGAAGGAGTTGTATATGTCACAATTCACTTCCTGATACCAAAGAAAATAAAAATACCAACTCAGTGTTCCTGCCAAAATCTATTTTGGGATGGTCTCTTGTTTTTATTTCACTTCTGCCAAAAGCTGGCCAATTTTTATTCAAAGACTCCAAAGCAACACAACCAATTTTGATCCCTTATTATTTATAACACTTGATTACTCCAGTAGCATAAGTGGTTAGAGTGTCCATGTTGGATGTAGGATGTTGCAGGTTCGAACCCTAGCTGAGTCATACTAAAGACTTGTAACAATGGTACTAGCAGCTGCCTCAATTGGTGCTCAGCATTAAGATTTTAGTGTTAGAACTAATTGGTCTGGTGTCGAGATGATGTCTGAGTGGATCATGATAGTACATGCCGAATGACGACCCAGTGCAAGACATTACCATAAACTGCCACACTGCAGATATCATAGTGATGAATCAACTTGTTAAAGCTAAGTTTTAAAAAAATCCATATCTAAAATACCTCGTAAAACATTTGACATCTGGCCTTAAATTCTCCCAATTACAACAATAAGGTAATCAATTACCACCAGCATGATGTGTATACATTAGCTTTCATAAGCCTATTACTCAAATGCACATTACTGCACCATTATATTTCTAGTCAAACAGTTGTTACAACCCTGTAGTTGATGTGTGCGTGTGTTAAGGAATCAATTCTGTATAAATCTTTTTATTTCATTTTGTTTTTCATTAAATGTAATTATTATTATGATTATGTTAGCATCAGTCTAATAGGTTGTTAGAAACATCATGTTTACTTAAGTTGTAAATGTGACTCACATGAGCACTGCTGTGTATGATGGCAAAATCGTTACAAGTAAACATTCAGGAATAGCTGTGAAAACAATTGGCTGATACTTGTTCAGGCTTTCCTATGTCCAGATGTATTGTGAAATTACATGTGTCTTCCATGCATGTGTAATTAAAACAATGTATTAGCTTCGTTTACATGCTTAGTTATTTTGTAAGAGTCAGAGTAACAGTCAGAATAAAGAACAGAGTCATAGCCTATTGTAACATCTTAGAGTTACACAGCTTCTATTACCTTAAATAAGGTATTTTTGTGCTAGAAGAAGTTGTCTTTTTGTATGTCTACGTAGAACAACACATGTTCTGTTAGTGGAGCTAATTGTACTTTGTTTTTCTAAATAATTGTTTTCCTGGAGAGCAACATGACTGGTTTGGACAAAGACATTTTCTGAAATTTTTTTAAATTGGAATGGAACAATACAAACTGTGCTTTACTGTGTGAATTCTGGATTTTTGTGTTAGCCTTCATCTGACATCATCATCCGCCATCTTGGACCGGAACGGAACTTCTGACTGTATTTATTTAGAATTATTCACAGGACATGTTTTATATCTTTGGAACAAACAATTTGGATCATTTCCATAAATTGTAAGTCTTGTTTTATATATATTCATTTTCTCCATGTTTTCTGGGAAAATAAATTACTTTATTAAAATTTACAAAGCTTGTTGTCTTCACTCTTTCTTTGTTTTACTTTGAACAAGCCAATACATAACACAGTAGACTCTTTCCAACTGGTTTCTAGACCGCTCCGGTGGCCTAGTGGTTACAGCATCTGCCTCCAATGCCAGAGGTCATGGGTTTGATCCCCGGCTGAGTCATACCAAAGACTTATAAAATGATACTTACAGCTGCCAAGCTAATGGCACTCAGCATTAAGAGGTTAGTGTTAGGACTGTTCAGCCTGGTGTCATGATAATGTGACTGGGTGGGACATCATGCCAGTCTACAGCATGATGACCCAGTGCTAGACATCACTATAAATTGCCACAGTGCAGACATCGTAATGATATGACTCAAACATTGTTAAAGCTATGCTAAAAATCAAAATCACTCACACACACACAACTTGTTTCTATAATGTGTGGATAAAGGATGTGACAATTTTGGGTTTTAAAAAAAAAATTAAAATCCTTTTAATTTTCAAAAGTGGATGATTTAAATAATTTAAAGTGACTATCAGGTACATCAGACTCACTTTGTTATGTAAAAGTGTAAAACAAAAATCATTTCAGACTGACTTTCACAAATCAATACAAATGTAAGTTTAATTAAATCATGTTCCAATGGCAAAATTATGACCATTTCATATAACCAGTGTTGCTACTCTGGAGAAAAAAAACCCTGCGCACATACTAGCTACATATACTTATGTATAATGCCTATGCCTCTTTTAGTTTCAAAAACAGTGGTTTTCACCTGGAATTTAGATCCGAATTGATTACTTTTCATTTCTATTAGTGGGAATAAAAATGGTGTCTCTTGCTAAATCAGTGCATAATATGATTCAGATTTCTATGTCTAAAACTGTTAAAAACTGCATTCATATCCTTTCTACTTTAATCACAATATAACAAATTTTATTTAACTAGGAATGAACACAGATTTTTTTCACCTTGGCAATAAAAGGCAAACAGAAGTCATGCATAGAAGCAGACCAATCATTTCTAAGTAAGTTTTCTGAACACACAAACTCTAAATGAAATGATTTTTGATCTGCAAAACAATCAACATAAAAAATAATTCATTATTTAATATCTAATTCTGAGTAACTCAACATCTGTATCTTTGTATGGTTTTGATGCTTTTCAACTGTCACTAATGTCTTCCTTTATTGGGACACTTTAACTTACTCATATAATCTAGTCATGTATATACTAAAATGCAACTAAACCCAATACATGCATGCATGCATGCAACCATCCATCCATACCTTATAATTAGCTAGATTTTATGTGTGGGCAACAAAGATGCCTGCCTGCACAAGTCAGGTGTAAGTAATCTTGTTTGAATATGGATGGGCAAATCTTTAATGTAATCAGTATTCATAATTCAAATAATGATGGGGGAAAAAATGAAAAATGAAAATGATTATGGCTATAATATATTAAGTTCTCCAAAAGTCAGCAAGCAGAAATAAAGTTAAAATCACAACAGCTAACTTCTATTTCAGACAAGAGTTATAACAATGAAACTTACATGAAAAAAAAAATCAAATATAATGCTGTCATCATAATTTTCAGTTCCATACCTACTTTTTGCTTACATCCATTAAGACCTTCAAAAATTATGGCATACACATTTATGAACCTGATAACATGTACTGAACAGGAACAGAAATTATACATAAATACCATATATACTCACTTATACGTTCAATTGCAAACTGTACACAGACACAGTTGCAGTCACACAGTACAGAGTAGATCTTGGTCTACACATTCTGTGAGGAATAATCAATAGAACAAACAATACACATCCTGACAGGTCAGTATATTAAACAGTAATGCAGACCAAACAACAGTACACCTGTTGCAACAATAGGTTGTGATAATACAACTCCCTCCCCCCCCAAAAAAGAAAGTAAATGTCACATAATCAAAGACAAAGCAGAGCCATCAGAGGTACCAGTGGTTACAGCTATACATACTTTGCATCAACAAGACATAGTGATCAGACAAAGACAACAAAACTGATCAAGTGCTCTCTGTGTGTGTGTGTGTGTGTGTGTGTGTGTGTGTGTGTGTGTGTGTGTGTGTGTGACTACACTACTGAAGTAGATGAAGGGGATGCTTCCATATCCTCTCTGGCAGGCATTTCTTTACATTCTTTGCAGTTGGACTCTGCTTAAAAGTAGATATATATGGTAGATGTAAGACTGCTATACTGCCCTTTCATTAGAGTATGGTAAGATAAGAGATACTGTAAATTAACCATCTCTGAATTATTAAAACTAGTAGAAGTGCATCATGTATACAGCCTTTCAATATCAAATTACAAAACAACCAAAAAAAACTGGAAAAAAAAAATAAAAATATAAACATGAAAACATGACATAACTTACATTTGTTTCCTCCAACAGATCAAGTTTTTCATACCTCTTAAATATTTTATCCTGTTAAATTTGGTTCTATAAAACTATAAAAGTTACCACGCGTGATAGAATTCAAGATATAATTTATAAATCAATGGATAATTTCTGCCACATGATTTGTGTATAGACATGACAAGCTCTTTAAAATTTGAATCAAGATCCTACTTGACTTGATTTATATTATGTTGAATTTAAATGTTTTATCTTAAAGATGAGTTAAGAAAAATTATAAAGTGGCTTGAGATAGCATAACTTGAGAGTGGATGAAAATTTCGAGTAGTACCACTTATCTCAATGCTGTACAAGCAATACAAATTATATAGATCCAGATCTGTTGTCAAATGGTAAGCCAGAAGACCGAGGTCTTTACTGTTTGTTCAATAGTGGTCCCTCACAATCACACTATCCTGGGGACTCCCCCAAAAATGTACCATATTATAGGCAAGGTCAAATTATTTCTGGGGTACATTACATGGAAGAATATAATTCAACCAGTCTAGTGGTACAAGGTTTGTTCTAAAAATAATATATAAAGCAGGAAATTTCCCACTCCATTTTTTTTAAAAGAAGGGAACAATTTTCTGAATATAGTATGGATGTAGTGAAGAATTAAAGGTAGGGTTAGAAACCATGTGCAATTTTTGACCACTTATTCAATTTGCATGTGATCTTTCATAAATCAGCATGAACTCTACAAACATATGTCCTTGAATAGACTGTGATGATACCTATGTTGTATGTGTGTCCTTGAATATACCATGATGATGATGACAGTTATATCAGAGACAATGTTATACTGAGATGCTTTGTTGCTGTGTTAATTCTAATGGCACATCCCTGGGCAATGCACTGTACTCAACTTAAGTACACACAACAATAATTTTTCATACACAGACTATACAGTTACAGGAGCTATTCTGCTCACTCCATTCAATATCAAATTCTAGCTCTAATGCTCTACAATTCAAACTGAACTGTTTCATCTGAGGATATATTTGGTATATTGAATAAATGCAATTTGTTAGAGTCTGATGAGAAGACCATAAATCTCTACATACTGCCAAATATTGAAATAGTATTGTTTAGTACATACACGAATGACCATATTGTAATGATCATAATATCTGAACTGCCAATACTATTAAGCATGGATATAAATATGGCCAAATAATGACAAAATTAGTACAGTATATCTTAATTTGGTGTTAAGCAATTTTAATGTTGAACTTCAGAATACAATCATCCATGTGCTAAAAAATCAGTCAGTGGCTGGCACAAAGCATTTTCTTGATGCCAAATTTTACAAAAAATTAAGATTTTTTTTTACAGTACATGAATACATTCAACAATTAATAAAATATTACAATTTCTCCTATATCATTGAGACAAAAAATTACAAGTACAAACTTAATGATCATATCAATATACATCCTAATAAATTATACAAGGATTACAACAGAAGCTTCAATGAACTTTACACTGAACAAGTGAAATGTTTACCTGAGTATAGATCTTTTTCCTGATACAATCAGCAATAGATCTTTCTCCTGATACAATCAGCAATTCAGATATCAAAGATAAAAAGAATTGTAATAAAATGCTCCATTAATATATTTCGAAAGTGTTTATGAACCACAAGCCATTTGAACCATGCAACTTAAGAAAATGAGCACCATTGATTATGAAGTCACACAAATTTTCTACTTGGTATTTGATTATCCTGCGGATAATATCAATCTATAAGACTGAACCTCATAAAAAAAACATCACACAAGAACAAGACTGTTGTAGCTAGATCAATAGAATATAAAAAAGATATCTTGGAATTACTTTTTTTCATTCTATGCCATCAGTTATGAGGTTTAATCTTTATGAGCAAAGTAGTAGCCCAAAAGAACAGTGTCTTTTTCTTTATGAAAAATTCACAACTTGAGTATTTACTTAATTCAAAACTTTATGCTTGTGTTCAATAATATAATAAATTAAGATCAATATGTCTATGATAATCTAAAAATATTACAAACCATTTCAAAAGGTAGATTTTCTGCAATATTCCAATCATAGTTTACATAATAAACTTTGTGCACAGTTCATTCTCATGTCAAGACATGGAATGAATGATACCACGCCCATACATGCAACTCAAGTACAAAACTCATTAGGTAATTTTCACATTGTGTAAACATTTTCATATTAGAATCATCAAACTTTATGGACACTGTTTAGGGCAATTATTAACAGGATTTTTTTTTCCTAGTACTTTGAGAATATATATTAAGGAGCTACACATGAAAATATACACCAGCCTGTAAATATTTTAGTTATTTGGATTGTTTGGACCCCAAGTATGTAAAAATATAACTTTATCTCAAACAGTTCAAGTCTCCAATATTTCACAAGTGATGATCATTCAAAAGTTAAATAAAAAAACAAAAGTGAGAAACATAAAGAGAAAAAAATAGAGCTAATCATAAGTCTGTACAAGTCTTAATATAAACATGTAAATAATAAAGGAACACAATGAGGATTAGTTCCATCAAATTAAATTTGCTATCCTGTTTAAATAAAGTCATCATCATCATCATCATCATCATCATCATTATTGTTGCTGCTGTTGTTGATATAAAGCAACACTTTTGCCAACAACAGGACAGCTATTCTTGTCATCATTAAATAAATTGATTATTGAATTAAAAATATAAAAATTAAAATTGGTCTCCCAAAACA